AAGCTTGCAATATGACCTACGAAACTGGGCTGGCAGGGGACTGTAGCCAAAATTGAGTTTGTCTTTAAGCTCTTCATCCATTCATCCAAATTAGGCCCTAACATGCATGGATTGCATCATTTACTATCCAAAGCCCTCATTATTACCTAAAGCTCAATGAACTGAAAGATAAACACAAAAAGGATTAAAAGCACAAGTTTAACTCAAAAACATAACCAAATCATAAGCTAGAAGGGTACAAAATGATATGTAAATATGCACCGATCACCTGCCAAGAGTTAGACTCAACTACACAAAAGACTATTTTCATTACCCTCTTTTCCATCATTATTTTCTCCAACCAACATCTCCAACTAATTTCCATGACATGATATAGTTCTTCTTTTCACATATCTCATAAAAAAAATGTAATCATTTAAATATCACCAATGTACATATAATCATACCAACATTAATTAAATAATTAACATCACGTAAACACCCAATATCAAGAACTTTATAATATCAAGAACATCCATCAAGTTATAATATCATGCATAATATAATGCTCACGAAATTTAATTAAATCAATCCCCGTAAAGTCTCCCAAGAAACCCCTACCTCGTTTCCAAAGCTAACTCCAAGTTAAGAAAACACAAGCTCCAACCTCTAACTCCTCCAAGAATATTATTACCACTCTCTCTTTCTCTTTCTCTCCTCCCTGTGTGCAACCTCTAATATTACACAAGGTTGTTATCTAGTGTTTTCAACAATAATAGAGGGACCTATTTATACTTAGAGAATGTCGGTTCCTACTAGCGTTGAGAATTGGCAACAACTATGGATAAGTTTAAACAAAAAGGAGAACTTGCCTACTTATTCTCCAAGGAAGAATATCTACTATATTTAACGTTTTAATACTTGCATGTGGGTGCAGGTGTCAATAAAATGAAAACTAACTTGCCACCTTATGCTTAACTGATGTCAGCTAGTAGTAAAAAGCTACTCCAACTTTACTTGCTACTAAATCTGAATTAAAATACAATATAACTTATATGTATAAAGGATAGGTCGGCTACCATTAGCGGTTTATGTACTTTTTACTCAAGTAAAGTATATATATATATATATTATGGTCTTGTAGATAAGAAAGTTTTACCTATAGACACGTTGTGATTCCAATCCTATTCTAAATTCTTATTGGTGAGTTGACAAGGCCACTAGCATGCCTTGTTGACGCCTAACTACCCATTCAAGAATCATTTTACTAATGAATATACAAATATATAGAATCAGATATATATATATATATATATATATATATATAATAGAGTAAGATAAATATATCTATATATATAACAATTATTTTAGTTTAATCATCATTTAAGAAAAAACGGACTCTCACATAGGGCCTCATTTAAGAGCCTTAGATAAGACCGTCACTATATATAGAATTCTTGTACCCAAACCTTTTCAGTGGTCCAAATGGTTTGAAAGAGAGCTACAAATTACCATTGACAATTGGTGCACAATTCGATCATATTGTAACCAGTCTTTAATATAGCATTTTTTATGTGATGAATTATATTGTAAACCGTTTTTAATAGAGCAGTTTTAATGTGATCAATAATGTGGTCCATAATTTATAATGCAGAATCACTCCATTCGTGAATTAGATTTTTATGGTGAAATTCTTAATAAGTTTCCGATTCGATTAGAATGTGTCCATTTTATGTGAAGGTGAATAATAGTGTACTTTATTTAGTCACATAATAGAGGCAAATATTTGAGGCGGGGTCGAAAAAGACTCCTTGGTGAGGAAGTTCATGAAGACTACTTGGGGGCCAAGTTTTAAAAGCATATTTGGATATATCATCACCATTTCTCCAATCACAACAACCCAGCAATGCCAATGCAAATTACAATGGAATCTGGAGAAAGCACTTTTCCATAGTCAATGTTTGTTTTGTAGTGTCATGATTTTGCACATTTTTACCTCTTTTGGTTGGTTAGCAAAATTACAATGGAATCTGGAGAAAAGCACTTTTCCATAGTCAATGTTTGTTTTGTAGTGTCATGATTTTGCACATTTTTACCTCTTTTGGTTGGTTAGCAAAATTTACTTTAAGCACTACTGTCTGCTTTGTTAATTGAGAGCAGAGAGAAGCCTGTGAATTTCTTTGATGTAAATTAATGAGTGGTGATTTCTTTTAGGTTATAGCTGCCGCGGTGAATCTTTGGGTGCTGTTTTGGGTGGTGTTTGGGGTGGTACCATTACTACCATAGTAGACAATTTGTTTGTACCCCACTCTCATCTGGCCTTTGGCCTCTTTCAATGAACTTCCAACGTTTGAAAAAAACAAATCTCGCTCTTGTAACCCATAATGAGCAAAAAGGACTGCTAACTTACTCAAAGAACAGATTTTATGACTTGAGGGAGATTCCAAAATGTAAAAGCTAAAACTTCCCAGAGGGGTTGATGAAAAGCAACATTTGAAAAATAAATAAAAAAACGTGACGTGTCAACAAAACTTGTTTGGGAAGTTCAGGACTTAATTCCTTGGAGGAATTGGGGTGAGTTTGCCTATAAAATAAAATACTTCTTCACTCTGCTGATGCCATTGCAGCTTCTTCTTGCTTGTTATATCCACATAGAGAGAGAGAGATGGACAGACACTTCAGATTCCTTCCCACCGAAGAGGAACTGGTGAACCACTACTTGAGGAAGAAGAAACAGGACAAGGATTTTAAAGTCGACCACATCATCCCTGAAATTGATATCTGCAAGCACGAGCCTTGGGATGTTCCTGGTAATCCATTAATCTTTCTCTCCTAATTCCTTACTTATCTACACATTTCTCATTAATACTGCATGATTGTTATGTTTATACAATCTTGTTCTGTTGTTAATTACCCCCAACAACACAAAATCTTGTTCTGTTTTTACTGCTAAGTACTTCATGACTTGAAAAAAATAAATTCTTGTTGTGTTTTTAGTATTTGGTACATCAAGACTTGTTTTGTGTTGCATTTGCAGGGCTCTTGTTCACAGAGCCAGCTAAAAATTCTTGTTGTGTTTTTAGTATTTGGTACATCAAGACTTGTTTTGTGTTGCATTTGCAGGGCTCTTGTTCACAGAGCCAGAGTCCCCATATCAGGATATGGAGTGGTTCTTCTTCAGCCCAAGAGATTACAAGTGCATCAACAGCGCTGGCATCAACAGGGTCACTCCGCGAGGCTTCTGGAAAATCACAGGCAAAAAACGTCTGATCAGGGCTCGAGGGTCCGAAGCTGTCATTGGGATGAAGAGGAGCTTGATCTTCTATGAAGGTCGTGTGCGTCAATCGAAGAAGACCAACTGGGTCATGTACGAGTATTATGAAGCCAACCCTAATCCTAAGCTCGCCCAGCAGGTCATTCTTTTTCATCCTGGGATTCTGCAGCATTAAGTTGTCCATTGGCTTAGTGTGTTACAAGAACTACTACTGCTTTTCATGTGTATGCTCTTATAAGAATTGCAATTGCTGGTAGTTAATGGCTTAATGTAGGAAGGTACTTTTGATTTTGATATGGGGTCTCCAACTTATGCAGAGGGATTTTGTTCTCTGTCGCTTGAAGAAAATAGCCGATCCCTTGAAGAAAAAAGCCGATAAGCAGCATACTTCAACCTATGCTAAAGCTGAACCTGCATATACTGAATGGCATGGGATTCCAGAGGTGAGATAGTTTTTTGCTCTGATACCACGAAGGAAGTTGAGGTTCCACTCTATAACCAAACCAATTGATAATACGAGGAGTAGCCCAACTCCTCTCAATACATGTAATTGGTTTTGAAATGGCACCTCAACTTCCTTCAATACGATCGTCTTATTATAGGTATATCCAAACTTAACCGCTTGATTGTTTGTGATTCTTAATACAGGACCATCCCCAGCCAGAAGATCTCGAATTAATCTTTCCTGCACTTCAGCTGCAGGATGACATGCTGGAGATGGACACAGAAGTTGCAGATGTTTAGCATGAGAATGACTATATTACTTTTATGACTGCTCCTGCGGCTACATGACCTGCTGTAGTCTTACTATATGTATTAGTATTAAACCTATCTCATTTTCTTTTCAATTGTATCCTTGTGAGTATTGTACTGTATTGTATGTATTGGTATTTCCATATTTAGTATTTTAATTCTTAATCTCACTAAATTCACATTTAGTATTTTAATTCTTATAGTCTCGCTAATTTTACGATATCAAAGCACAGGTGAAAAAAGAAAAAGGATAGTTTATTGCTTCAACAATGGTTATGGTCATGCCCTCAAGCTCCCCCGTTCTGGGTAGGGTTGATGCCCTGCTCTTTAAATTAAGCTAGGAAAGATTGCCAGAAATAACCATGGTGGCGGTTCACTCTCAAATTATTTGAGAAAATCACAGTATTTTTGTTCCCATCATATCCATTGCTTGTACATTCGCAGTTGTTGTGCCATCTTTCTTTGTAACTTTTTTTTTGTCACATGAAATTCAATTGCTTGGTGATAGCAAAATCATTGAGGTACCAATGGTGCAAAGTTTTGGTTTAGCGGGTAAGGTCTCTGCACTGTGTGTCGCCCCACCAGTGTTCAAGTCCTGCTGCCAGTAGTTCTGTGTTTGGTGGGTAATCTGTAAATACGAAAAGATCTGGGGTTTGCCCTGGCCCTGGGTGTGGGGGTAGCCTTTCCCTCCCCTAAACTTTCTAACATAAAAAAGAAAAAGAAAAAAGGTTTTGCATGACTTCCCATCTAATTCCAAATGATAATTTACAAACATGGCACGGGAAAAGATCACTACGATTTTTCAAGAATAAATTTCCTTTTTAATGTGCAGAATTTTGTATTTTTATTTTTAATTCACGTAAGTATTTCGGGTTTGTATGTATTTATGTACTCTCCCAAGGCCAAAACAACAAAATACTCTCTCAATTATTTCTCAAATGAACAAATCATTTCATTATGTTTGTTTAATAGTTGCGGAAAATGAGTTTCCTTTTTACTAATGTTAGGATTCGGTGTCTCTCTTTTCTTTTCTTTTTTATTTAAAATTTTATGTTTTGGGTCGAATACTTGTTTCATTGCAAGCCAAAAGAGATTGTGCTTAGGGCTGTAAACCGTCTTTGATAGAGTTGTTCCGATGTGAACAATAATATCCATAATTTATGGTGCAGAATTGCCCATGTATGAATTACACATTTGCATTGAAATTCATTATAAAGTTTTCGATGTGATCAGTCCATATCTTTATCAAAAGTTAGATTATCTGATTTACTAGAAAGAGTTACAATGGCAATTGGCAAGTGGGGAGCATGTAACAGAAAGAAGAAAGAAAAATGTGAATCATGGTACTTTTGGTGCAGAGAATATGGAGGCAAATATTTGAGGTGGGGTCGAAGAAGACTACTTGGTGAACAAGTTCATGAAAGACTTGTTGGTTGAAATGTTTCAAAAACCTATTGGATATATCACCATTTCTCCAATCACAAACTCTAAAATATACATTTTTTATTATATATAAATACAGAGAAGAATAAAATCAAAACCATTATCACATGGCAGTGCCAAGATTGTAAAATCTCTCTTTTATGTCTTTTTCTCTAAAGTTGCACTAAAAATTCTAAAGTTAACATGACGTTTAAACTAAACAGAGGGGCCGATGGTGTAAGGATTCGTAACGAACCATGTGGGTGTTAAAATGTATGTAATTACACCTTAAATTTATTCGTCAAATATTGTCTACATGTAGCAATGCGTCATCTATTTATTCAAATTTGACATTACTTTGGTGACACAATTTTTGTTAGCCTGGTAAAACTATTCATATTTTGTTTATATTTTGATGTGGAATTCAATGTAGGAAAAGGACCTCTTAACTTATTCAAAGAACAGAAAAGACTTTTATGACTTGAGGGAGATTCCAAAATGTAAAGTATTCTAACCTCCAAGAGGGGCTGATGAAAAACAACATTTAGAAAAAAAAGAAAGAAAAAAGAAACTCGTAGGTTGAGTTTGTCTATAAAATACAACTTCACTCTACTGATGCCATTGCTTCTTCTTCTTGCTTGTTAGAGAGAGAGAGAGAGATGGACAGCTACTTCAGATTCCTTCCCACTGAAGAGGAACTGGTGAGCCACTACTTGAGGGAGAAGAAACAGGTTGACCACATCATCCCTGAGATTGATATCTGCAAGCACGAGCCTTGGGATGTTCCTGGTAATCCATTAATCTATCTCTCCTAATTTCTTACTTATCTACACATTTCTCATTAATAATGCATGATTGTTATGTATATACAATCTTGATCTGTTGTTAATAAAAATTACTTGGAAAAAATAAAAAATAAAAATAAAAGTTGTGTTTTTAGTAAACTTGAATTGGGTTGGGTTCAAATTAGGATATTTTGTTTTGTGGTGCGTATGCAGGGCTGTATGCAGGGCTGTTCACAGAGCCAGAGTCGCCATATCAGGATATGTTCTTCTTCAGCCCAAGGGTTTACGAGTACAACAACAGCGCTCGCATCGAAAGGACCACTGCGCTAGGCTTCTGGAAAATCACAGGCAAAGAACGTGTGATCAAGGCTCGAGGGTCCACCGGGAGAAAGAAGACCTTGACCTTCTATGAAGGTCGTGTGCGTCAATCGAAGAAGACCAACTGGGTCATGTACGAGTATTATCTTGTTGAAGATGAAGCCAACCCTAATCCTACGCTGGCCCAGCAGGTCATTCTCTTTCATCCATGCTTGATTATTTGCAAAGTTTGTTATATATATTTTGTGCTGTGTTTGGATTGTGCAGCATCAAGTTTTGTCCATTGGCTTAGTGTGTGTTCATGAACTAATGCTTTTGATGTGTGTGTGATCTTATAAGAATTGCAATTGCTGGTAGTTAATGGCTTAATGTAGGGAGGTACTTATGATTTTGATATGGGTTATGCAGAGGGATTTTGTTCTCTGTCGCTTGAAGAAAAAAGCAGATGATAAGAAGCATACTTCAATCTATGCTGAAGCTGAACCTGCATGTGATGAATGACAATGGATTTCTGAGGTGAGATAGCTTTCTCTAATACCATGGAAGTTGAGGTTCCACCGCATAACCAATTGGCAATAGGAGGACTAGTCCAACTCCTCTCAATAAGCGTAATTGGTTTTGGAGTTTGAGGTGGAACCTCAACTTCCTTAAATATTCAACTTCTTATTATGGAGTATATCCAAACTTACCGGCTCGCGTGTTTATGATTCTTAATACAGGAATTTCCTCGGCCAGAAAAACTAGAATTTATCTTTCCTGCACTTCAGCTACAGGATTACATGCTGCAGATGGACACACGATGTTTAGCAATGAAAATAACTATATTACTTGTATGACTGCTCCTGCTGGCTGCTGCTACATGACCTTCTGGAGTCTCATGTATATGTATTAGTATTATAGATTATACACTCGACCCTCTACAACCGAATAGTATATGTATTGGATCCATTTTTCTTTTCAATTGTATTAGTATTTTAATTCTTAATCTCGCTAATTTGAAGATATCAAACCACACGTGAAAAAAGAAAAGAAAAGGATATTTTATTGCTTCAAGAATGGTGATGGCCATGCCCTTCATGCTCCCTCATGCTGGGTAGGGTTGGTGCCCTGCTCTTTGACAGCAAGAGGCTCATACCAGCGAGGCCCAAACCCAGCAGCTTTCCTCGCCTCTTCATTGAAAGGAGGCTTCAAAGGCCCCCTGAAATACGTCCTCACAATGGCATGAAACTTTTTAATCACTTCATCTTCTTCCTCATCAGTCACCAGCCTCATGCAAAGATACTTGAACCACTTCACTCCAGCAGCACAGTGGGTTATTTCTTCAGGGTAAACCACGCTCTCTAGCAAATCAGCTGTTGTGTCGTCGCCTCCTTTTCGGAACCGGGAGATGGTTGTTGGCAGCACATCCAGCCCTCTTGCCTCATGCACGCAATGCTCGACAGCCAGGCGTGCGGTTAAGTCTTTGGAAGTGGCAGCGGCAGAGGCCCAGAGGCCGTCGTGAGCCGGCAATGCTCCATAGAACGAATCCATCTCCTCAAGCCGAGCTGCGAGGAGAGTGAAGTGACGACCTTCGTCCTGAGCCACCTTTACGAAATCCGTGAAGAACTCACTCGGCATTGCCTCTTGCTTCCCAAACCTAGCAATTATGTCCTACAACAATCAATACGAATATACTATTAATATAAGCATGAACAAGACCAATTCAGATTTTCAAAAACTAAAGACAACTGATTTAAATAATCAAAATTCAACTTAAAATTGAATAAAATAACTTAGAATTGACATGATTGAAATACCAAACAACAATATGAGACAGAAAGCTACTATGCATAATTTTTCTCCAATGCAGGATGAGTAATGCGAGATTGTTACAGGATGCGTGCTGGTTGATATGTAACGTGCCCATGGCGATCAATTGGCACTCACATTACGCAACTTTCATCCTGCATTGGGGAAACCTCGCGTTTTGAAATACGCCGCTACGATTCCCTAATCAGGATTTTCCTAATTCCCAACATGAATGTATCACTTTTTTTTCTTTCTTCCTTCTCATTTGAGAAGAGATAAGATAAGAAGATCAACTAGATGTGACAAACAATGCAACATACTCTCTGAACGTATCTTACACAACTAGGTTTGAAAAAGAAAACTTCAAGGCTGAGAAAAAGCCATGAAATACAAAGCACCAATCTCAACTCACAGACACACAATAACAAATGCATAATTAAACCACTAAATCTGAAAACATAAATGGTCAATTTATAATTTTTTTTGTTAAACATTAAATCCATATCTTTATCAAATATTTACAATGTGGCAATGAGGAAGATCTTACTCATAGCCCCACAATGATTTATTAATTATTTTGTTTAAGTATGAAGAGTCAAGAGATTGAAAGCTCCAAGAACCAATGCTTCTATTGATTTTCACAAATAAAATAAAATAAAATTGAAAAAGGTTTTGAAAGGGCCCAAGCAGCTAAGGGCCAGCTCTACAATACCCAAGACAAGTCAATAGCCCAACTCTCAGTGTGCGCGAGGCTATGGACTATGGCCTGCCTGCTCTGCAAGCTCCCGCCTTTTCCCAGCTTCGGCATCAGCCCCGGCGCCACCAACTTCACCTGCATTCACACACACACACACACGCATTTCATCAAACACTTGGCGCACAAAAGCAACACACACTCCAGGCTCCAGCACTGTAAATTGACAAAGCCTACGCAACGTTGCTGAGCCTGGCAGGACGATCCGGTACGGGAAGGTCCACGGAAGCGTCGTATGCGCGAGTGATGGCCCCTCCGAGCCACTGAGCCGCCACCGAGTCGCCAACTCGGGCCTTCTCGAACGGGTCCGCCGTGTTCAAAACTCGGAGCGCCGCTTCCACCAAACTCTCGTCCCCGCTCATGTTTTTTTCTTTTTCTTCTGCCAAACCTAAACAACTTTTTGTGGCTAGAAACTTTTACCTAAAGAGAAAAGTCCGAATTTGCTGCGTTTAATTCGGGTCGGGTTCGCGGAAAATTTAATTTGCCAAGCAGGACCTGAGGTTGGAGGTAATTGCATTTTGTGACAAGCGTCGTCTGTGACTGTGTTGTTGTCCCTGACTCTGTGGGACTTGAACTGCAGGGATGAGTCAGCACGCGGGCCCGAGGGCCGAGTCGACTCACCACCGACTCTACGAGTTCGCGAAAGCTGCACTCACCAGGATCTTCGTGCATCCTTACGCCACGGTCTGTTTCTTCTGCCCTAGAAATCTCAGTCTCTCTCTTCACAGGCACAGTTTTGTGTTTGTATAATTGAGTGATATTTGTGGTGGTGGTTTTCAAGGTGTGTGAATTGTATTGCGGTGGAGGAGTTGATGCAGAGAAATGGGACGAAGCTCAAATTGGCCATTACATTGGAATTGGTATGGTTTCGTGTGTTTTCTGTGTATATATTTGTACAATGGCTGAGTTAAAAATGGTGGTGCTTGTTGTTGCAATGGGTAGATGGTTCATCATCTGGAATAAGCCAAAGAAGAGAAGCATGGGAGAGCCAGAGGAAGGCTTACACTGCTGACTTTTTTGAGCTTGACCCTTGCATGGTCAGACTCTCTTTCTTTACTCTTACACTCTTACTGCATTGTTTGTCTTTGTTGTTTTTGCTTCCTTTATTTGAAGATTTAGAATCAGGTGGCTTTATTCTAGCATGAATTGGGTGTCTTTGTTGGTGTTACTCTTCGTTGGTGTTCAATTTCGTTATTTGTCTAATAACTGTCGTAGTGGAGGCCTTCAGAGGAATTGGTTTGCATGAAAAGATAACGATTTTGGGAACTGGTGATATAAGATATCATTTCTATAGCTTTAAAGCAATTGTCCTCATGAGCCATATGGTTGAGCAACTCATGCATCTTATGACTCACTTTGGCGGACAATTTAACCAATGTAACTCCATGAATTATTTAGCAGTGCCTTTAAGAAGTTTCCATGAAATGTGAAAGTAAAGATTTTGTTGTCGTTTGAAACCCAAAATTGTCACTAGCCAGATACGAAGTGTGCTGACTTAAATTATTGATTTCTCTCCTTTGGTTCTGTAGTTACTCTTGATTTCGCACAGACTGTTTTTCCATAAACTAACAATTGAAATTTTGTCGTAGTTGGTACTGTGCAATTTCAGTCACAAGTTTCAACTGTATCTGATGACTGTTGTTCGTTGACATTTATCCAGGACTCAACTGATATGAAATATAGCTCTAGATGAGAAATTTATATATATGGGTTGAAAATTTTGGCTGCTTTAAGTTGCTTTGGATAATTTTCTGTCTTTTCAGTCCTGCATTATTTGACAGTGGATTGCTTTGATAGGAAGATGTAGAGATACATCTGAAAGATCAGACAAACCCGGCAGATTTAGTTTGCTGCTTGAAGAATTTGCAGGTTTCTAATATATTTCTCTAAAGATTTTATTTTTCTTTTCTTTTAATGGTCGTGTGCTTGTTTATTCTTTAGTTTTAATGATACTTAAGAATTGCATGTTCCGAATCTTAAAAGCATTTTCACTTGCAGCTGTGTTTTGAAACTGAGGAGAGAGCAAGGAAACTATTGTTTAATGTATCATCCTTATTGAAGCCGGGGGGTTATTTTTTTGGTATTACTCCTGACTCATCTACAATATGGTATGGAATATGCTTGCAAAAGACCTGTTGTTTAATTTGTTATTTTATATCTTAAATTTATTTGGTTAAATTTGAACATTTGTTGAATTGTTTTGATATACATGGCCCTCTTATATGTGAAACATCAAAATAGTTCTAATTCAGCCTTGGGGCAGGGAAATAGTTATTGCTAGATTATTTGACATTATGTTTTCATACAGGGCAAAGTACCAGAAGAATGTTGAAGCATACCACAATAGAAGCAGTGGCATGAAACCGAACATTGTTCCCAACTGCATTAGATCAGAGAACTACATGATCACCTTTGAAGTTGAGGACGAGAAGTACGTATAAGTTTGAGATATTAAACATGTATCTCTTAGCTTTTGTTTTCTTGGATGATTTTGGGTGCTCAATCTTTTTTCCTCAATGAATATACTTCAAACTTTCAGGTTCCCGTTATTTGGAAAGAAATACCAGCTGAAATTTGCTAATGACATCTCTCCCGAAATTCATTGCTTGGTTCATTTCCCGAGCTTCATCAGGTTTAGTTTTGTTTCTGTTATAATTTTGCTTTCAAACTTTGATTCTGGTTGTAGGTTGTTATATTTCTTAGTGTGGCATACATAGTACTTTCTGGCATTACAAGATTCCCTCTTTTTTAAAGCTTCACACATGGAGGTTCCATATTTTAAGATGGTTTTCTGACTGATGCTTCTTCGTTGGTTTGAAATTAATTAACCATTATCATGCCTCTTAAGTGAATGGATATTTGAAAATTTAAAATTTACGCCAGAGTAGGAATGGTATGTTTGACTATCAAGTGAATATGGGTTTCAACCATAGCACCATTTAACCAACTCCTTTGCTTCGTGGCACACACATGCTCTCTTTGATTGGTTGTCTTTTACTTCTTTAATGCCTTAATGGTGATTTTCAATTGATCTTGATTATCCGTTTCTTTCGTAAGTAATTCAGGTTAGCCAGAGAAGCTGGTCTGGAGTATGTGGAGATTCAAAACTTAACAGAATTTTATGATGACAACAGGTTTTGATTTCTTGTTTTCTTGTTAAATTTTTCACAAGCATGTCTCCAGTGTATTTTTCAAGAAGAAAAAAAAATCCTGTGAATAAAACCTTAAAACCATAGTTATTATTTTCTATTCATTTTGCATAAGTTTGTTTAAACTTATCTGGCTGATTTTTCTTCTTTCCTATTTCACTTTTCTCTGTAAGAGCACAATTTGCAGGCATGATAATGAATTTTGGTCCAAACCTTGTGGATCCTAGAGGAAGGCTTCTTCCTCGATCATATGATGTGTTAGGTAATGCATTTGTTTC